AAAACCCAATCTAAAATTCCAACAACCGCCTACTCTGTCAAACACACCAAACGTTTATTTCTCAAAATCAACAATTTGTTGCGTATTGACTTGACAATTCTGCTCCCCCCACCCTACCTTCGCCATAATCCTCACCGGATTCCTTTTCCCTTCGATTACTCCACCGGAATAAACCTCACCGGATTCCTTTTCTCGTGAGTTAATCCCCTCCCTAGTAATCGAATAACCGTCTCCGAACTAACACTTCTGTCTCAACACGCAATGCCGCCGAGGACCGTCAAAACTAAGGTCAATACTGCCACCGCAAACGCCGTGCTCCTCGTGAATAACATCGTTTTTTTCGGCTGCCAGAATCTCCGCATTCCTTCCTCTTAATTCCCCTATGCATCCTTTCTGTTGTGTCTCCACCGTCTCCGATCACTCGCCGGTGAAACCGGTTCCTCCAGACATCGGCATGCCATTGCCTGCAATCGCCATACCGGCTTCCACTGCCAGATCCCAATCTACCCGATCCGCGGTCCAGATTCATAGTCAATCAAACCACCACCGTAGTAATAGCCTTGATTTCAATCGGTTGTGCCAGAGAAACGGAGCGGTAGGGAGTCAGGCGCCACCGCCGCCGGTCGATTTGAAGATTAACGATATTGTAGGGAACGGGATATCGGCAGTGCTGTATAAATGGGTTAATTACGGCAAGGGATGGAGGCCGAGGTGGTTTGTTCTGCAAGATGGCGTGTTGTCGTATTACAAGATTCATGGACCTGATAAGATCGTCGTTAGCCAAGAGACCGAGAAAGGTTGCAAAGTTATAGGCGAGGAATCCATGCGTATAATCTCTCGCCATAAGAATTCTAACTCTAATTCTCATCTCCGGCGGAAGCCATGCGGTGAAGTCCACCTGAAGGTCTAGTTTCCTTTTATTTTGATGTTATTTTCGATTTGGATGCCATTTCCTACAGAACGGGTTTGTTTCATCCGTATTGCGTATTTTTCAGGTTTCATCGATCCGAGAGAGCAGATCGGACGACAAGAGGTTTTCAATCTTCACAGGAACAAAGAGGCTTCATCTGCGAGCTGAAACTCTGGAGGATCGCGCTGCATGGATGGAGTCATTGCAGGCTGTGAAGAACATGTTCCCGCGGATGTCCAACGGCGAGCTCATGGCACCGATCGACACTGTCTCCACGGAGAAGCTGAGGCAGCGGCTGTTGGAGGAGGGTGTTAGTGAGGCGGCCATTCAGGATAGCGAGCAGATCATGAGAACGGAGTTTGCTACATTGCAGAAGCGACTGATGTTGCTTATGCGGAAGGAATTGCTCCTCAAGGAAACTGCTCGCCATTTAGAGGTACATGTAATGAAAACTAGAAAACAATATGCTGGCAATCATCCAATTTACAACTCTATCACTTGATCTTCTCCATTGTTTACTCTGATGAATTTTGATTCAAAGCCAGGATCAGAATAAGAATGGGATTTGGGGTTCTTGGGTGTTATGCTGCATTTTTTTTTTTTTTTTAATGTTTAGATTTGGAAGATTGTTTATTCTTTCGGTGTTTTTGATTGTTTATTCTTTCAGTGTTTTTTTTTTTTTTTTGCTATAGAGATTTATTGCGTGGTGTTATGGAAAACCCATGTATTTGACGATTGGTGTTCTTTGAAGGGAAGGGGAGAAGGAAGAATTTTCAGGTCATCTTCCATGGTAGGTCACTAGAAGAGAGGGTGACACTACTAAACTGTAAATGTGTTTTGTAGATGCCAAAATCCTTCAAAATTATGACCTCTTTAATCTCTATTCTTTTATTGATTTGTATATCTAGGACACTAGACTGTTGAATTCCTCTTTGGGGCAGATTGAAGTTGCCGAAACCAGGAGTGGCCAGTTTCTTCTACATCCCTATCTAAACATACTGTGTACTTTTATTTGGAGGCTTATTTACTTTTAATACACAGTGATATGCTTGAAAAATTGCAAAATTGCGTTGAGGTCTACTCAATGATTCAAATCATTCTGTCTACAAAGTGAAAGAAGAAATTAGCATCTTATTTATCTCATGTACCTTAGCTGATCCTGCTAGAGGTTTGACTTTTGAAATAAGATTTATATCTTCTGATGAGAAACTGCTATTTGAATTACATTTTGTAGACAGAAAAGGTTGATCTGGAGAATACAGTAGTAGATGAGAGCCAAAGACAGTTGAATGATGAAGGTGGCCCCTCTACATTAAGGCAAGACAAATTCAGTGGTAAGTTGTTAGTGGTTAAAAGGTTTATTAGCAATTGTATTCTCTGTTGTTGGCAGTTCTAATCAGCATTTCAAGTTGGCTCGTAGCTAAACTTGTTCTTTTCAATTCTATTGGCAATGAGTCTAGGCATTTGAGAATTACCTAAAGCTTGTGTCTATATGGAAAAGAACTGAGTTTATTTGTGTATTCTTGTCACAAAGATCATGTGGATAAAGAAATAAGAAATTCTAGTTTAGCTTTTATTAGTATCTTACTTAGTTACTTGTTAAAGTTTTTCGATTTATGTTCTCTTCTGTTTCTATCTCGCATGAAATTAATGTATGACAATAATTTCAGTTCTAGGAGCCAAATTGCTGCTATAGGTATTCTGACAATTGCAACTTGACTTTCAAGGTTTTTGTTGCTATCACAGGCTAATGATATGAACTTATAACAGTTCTATAGGTATCATTTTGGTGTGATTTGAAGTTGTGAGTCTGTACCAGACAAACTGGTGTTTTCTCTATTTAAATTAAAATAAAAGATCTCCTCTGCATTATCTAATCCATTGCTTGGTTCAAAGGGTTCATTTTTGTTCACTAATATAGTAATATCCAATTGTTTGTTACTCTTAAGTGGTTTTATACCATTGTCAAAATGTTTATCTCCTTCCTCCTCTCATCATGGTTGTAGATTTTTTTGCCCCTTTCTGTTTAAATACTATTTCTTTATTTCTAGGTCTTCTTTTGCGGGGTTCGTAGTCCATTTTGTTTATAAATTCTTACCATCCTCTATGGATCTCTCACTCTCTCTCTTTATTTTCCACAGAAAGTTTGACTGAGTCAGAGGATGACAATGAAAGAGTTGATGCTGCTGAGGAAGAGACTGATGAAGAGGACAATGCTTTCTTCGATACTCGTGACTTTCTGTCATCAAGTTCTTTCAAAAGTAATGGCTCTGATAGACGGATGTCATCTTTCTCTTCAGATGATGGTGGTCTTAATGCCGCTGAATCTGAGGATGATATTGATCCTTCTATAAGATCAGTTGGAGCTAACTATCCTTACATTAAGCGTCGTAAAAAGTTGCCTGAACCTGTTGAAAAGGAGAAGAGTGTCAGCCTTTGGTCGATGATTAAGGATAATATTGGGAAGGACCTCACAAAAGTTTGTCTTCCTGTTTACTTCAATGAGCCACTTTCTTCATTACAAAAATGTTTTGAGGATCTGGAATATTCATATCTCCTTGATCGTGCGTATGAATGGGGAAAAAGGGTGAGTTTGTTGGAACTTTATGGTTTTGTTTTAGAAAAAAATTATCACTTGAAATTTTATTTTTTCTGTTATGGTGTTCATTAATATGAATCTCTGTTGGGGGAACATACTTCTAATCCCATGTAAAAGAAGAAATGGTTTTCCAAGTCTTGTTTACAATCAAGTCATTCAGGGAATTTGCATTAAAAAGAGAGAGAGAGTAATTTAGGGCATTTTTAAATTTTGAAATGAATGATATCCATTTTGTCCATCTGCATTCTGGTTATTAATCACTTCACATTGCATTATTGCTTCAACAGTTGGTCCACTGAAATATGATGAATATGCTTATGCAGTTTCTTTACCATAATTGTCAATTAAATTGAATATTTATTTATTTATTTATTTATTTATTTTAATTTCTTAATCTGGATATTCTGTGTGCTGGTCCTGCCAGAATGCTGATGTCATTTGGAACATAATCTCCTTGTGCATTTTATGTGTATCACCTGGATATGTTGAGTTTATGCCCATTAATCAGTTGTGCAGCCATTAATACTCACAAAATTTACCTTGAACAATTGCAGGGCAATAGCCTCATGAGGATTCTTAATGTGGCTGCTTTTGCTGTTTCTGGATATGCTTCAACTGAAGGAAGAAGTTGCAAACCATTTAATCCATTATTAGGGGAAACTTATGAGGCTGACTATCCAGATAAAGGCTTACGCTTTATCTCAGAGAAGGTTTGTTCTCAAACCTGGAGCAATCTATTATACATATATGAAATATATTTCTTATTCCTAAATTGAGGGGTACTCTTTTTCATTTTACCTTATTTTCATGGTTTGACCAAGAAGTAGCCATTCCACCAGACAAACTTGTCCTTAGAGAGTAGAAACATTGCTGGACATTTACCTAACAATTTAAGCTCTTAGGTCGAACAATGCCAGACAGTGGAAGTAGGCTTTGATTTCATTCAATGTGAGGGGTGGGTAGGGGATTAACATAATACTGATTACCTTCATTTATTTTATCCTAGAGTTTTCAATTGTTTAACATGCTTTCACATGCTTTCACATGCCACCTTATTCTTCTGTGTTGTTCACGTTATCCTAGTTTTGTTTTGTATGGTATTTGCAAAGCTGCCAAGGTGATTCTGTTTTTGGTGTCAGGTCAGCCATCATCCTATGGTTGTTGCATGCCACTGTGAGGGGACAGGTTGGAAATTTTGGGGAGATAGCAACCTTAAGAGTAAATTTTGGGGTCGCTCAATTCAGCTCGATCCTGTTGGCATTTTGACTTTGGAATTTGATGATGGAGAAGTATTACAGTGGAGTAAGGTATGGCTCCAATAATTTGAGAAATGTTCTTTGTTAATTAAAAATCTAAATTTCTTTTCTTTGGTCAGGTTACAACATCAATATACAATCTCATCCTGGGAAAGCTTTACTGCGATCACTATGGTACGATGCGGATAGAGGGGAACCATGAATATTCATGTAAGCTGAAGTTCAAGGAGCAATCTATCATCGACAGAAATCCTCATCAGGTGATCACTCATTCTCTCAAATAGTCTATTTCTTATATGACATAAACAGCTCTTCTTTTTATAGCAGTTATAGAAATTTCAGTTTTGTTGAAATCTTACAGAATGCTGTTGCTGGTAAATCCCAATTTATATATATATATATATATATATATATAAATGTTTTTCAGGTACATGGTATAGTTCAAGATAAGAATGGGAAAACAGTGGCTACTCTGTTTGGAAAATGGGATGAGAGCATGCATTTTGTGAATGGAGATTGTTCTGCAAGAAAAGGACAAGAATCTTTATCAGAAGCCCATTTGCTCTGGAGGCGGAGCAAGCCTCCTCAATTTCCCACTAGATACAACTTGACACGCTTTGCCATCACATTGAATGAGCTCATTCCTGGCCTGAAGGTAATTATTGTGAGAATTTGATTATTGAACTTGGCACCCTTCTAATGCTTCAGCTGGTAGTGTAGGAACAGCACTCAACTGCAGTCTTTTGTTCTTACCCCAATTGCAATGTTAGCCCTTGTACATAAACAAAAATATCCCTGGTTGGATATATTAATTTCTAGTAGTGAATTCTTCTAATCACCAAAATGTTAAGAGAATATAGAATAATCTGGTATCAATATAAATGCTATTAGCCTATCACAGTAAATGGGATGGTTTCAAGGATGTTGAGATTTGTATGTTTTCCTTTTCAAGTACATGAGATATTGTTTTCAAATCTAGTTTAATGCATGCAGGAAAAGTTGCCGCCTACAGATTCAAGGCTTAGACCTGATCAGAGGTATTTGGAAAATGGAGAGTATGAAATGGCAAATTCTGAGAAGTTGCGTTTAGAACAGCGGCAACGGCTGGTAAGTTGTATGTTATGTATGCTATGAACTTCTTTGAGTGAGGTAATTTTAACATTTCCCTCTCAATATTTTATAATTTTGGGGGTTAAAAACGAATAAGAATTTGACTAAGTTAGTACCTACTAACTTAAAAACTTAAATTTGGGGTCAAGATCAGAGGTTAAAACTTGTGTGATACAAAGAAACCAACTCTCTAATGTATCAAAAAAAAAAAAAAAAACTTGGGGGTTAAGTGCAGTTTTTTCAGAATACAACGGGTTTAAGTGCACCCAGCGCAAACCACACAGCGTAGGTGCAATTTCCTTCTGTTTGGACTTTGCTTTGATGATTGTAACTTTTATCTGCCTGGAAGCTGCTTAAGCTAAATTATCAGTTGAGTCAATGCATTGCACATATGAGCTGTTTTTAGGGATATACTCTTGTCAATTAATTGGTTCAAAAGTTGTCACATGCTTGCATGGTTTCGTTTTCTCACTGGACTTCTTTGATCAATGTCAGGCCCGGAAGATGCAAGAGAGGGGTTGGAAGCCTAGGTGGTTTGCAAGGGATAAAGGAAGTGATACATATCGTTATCTTGGGGGATACTGGGAAGCCAGAGAACAGCGAAATTGGGATTCATGTCCCAATATCTTTGGCCACATCTCTAATGATCAACTCATTGACTAAGGTTGAACAGGAACTCATTTTTTACGGATAATATATAGAGAAAGGGGCACCCGTCTGCTAGATTGAGCAAGGTTACTCCATGGGAACCAGTGTAAGTAGATTTAGAAAGATTGAGAAAATAGCAAAAGAAATTATTTTTTCCGTAGCTGCAGATTTGTACGTTGTGATGATTTGAGAATGATTCAATATAGGAGGTATCAATGTCCGAACATGTTGATGCAATTATAAATTTCTTTTTTATAAACAATT